GCCATCCCTAGCACAGGAACTCTCAGGAGTTTAACATCTCTAATGTGCTATAGCACTCAACATGCTGCCCAGGTTTTTAATTACATCATGGTGATTAGCAGTCCAGAAAATCACTTGAAGCCAATTAAATCATGTGCACCTAACTGAAGACTGCTGCAGGCTCTGGGGGCTGCTTCAGAGCAGCCACAGTTGATTGGGTTTTAAACAGCCCCTCTTCCCCTCCCTGTAAATTATTTACCTACTTCATTATTCTACAACCCTGCCAGTAATTGTTTTTTATGGGTTTAGTAAAGCTGCTATAATTGGTAGTAGCAGTAAAAATTTCTCCTCTATGTCTCAACCCCCATGTCTGGGTTGAGACCCTAAAGGGAGCTGTGGCTTTTCTGACCCCTGAATCACTGCCTGTGGTTTCAATGCTCTCATGCAGAAGTACCACAGGTTCTGCTGCCCGGAGTAAATCAGCCCTACAGCCCAATCTGGCCTTGGAATGGAGCAGCAGTTGTTGATGCATATGAGGTCACCACTATTAAATATCCAAACTCTCCAGGAGCAGGCAATGGGATTGAGAAGGACTAAGAGCAAAAGGTGCTTTCCTCCTCCAATATTTTTTTTTCAATATGTAAATACTTTTGCATGAAAAAAGGTCCCTCCAGGGGCAGATGTCCCTGTCCCAGGGGGCTGGGAGCAGCTGTAATGCCCAAGGTGGGGGCCTTTCCTCCCACCCTGCAGGGCTCCATGAGCTGCTGCTCCTGCAGCCTTGGGGACCCCTAGCCTGAAAACCCTCCTGGGGAGAACCGCCAGGAGCTGTGCCCTGTCCCAGGGCCTGGATTTATTGTGCCACACATTCAAGCTGGTAGAGAAAATCAAGGTGAGGGGACACCCCATGTTCTGGGGGGGATCTGCCCATTCCCTATAGGTCACTGTTGGAACCCAGGAAATTCCTCTGGCTGCCCTGGAGGACTCGAGCCCCTGCCAAGGGGGCTCAGAGACCTTGGCACAGAGCCCAAGACCCCTGTGCCTTTGATTTTGACCTATGGAAGAAATTACCAAACTTTATATGAAGAATTACAAGTCAGGAGAGTTTAAGAAGAATAACAGTTAGTTTGTCAAGGGAGGAGAAATAGATTTTTGGGGTTTTTGGAATGGAGGTTCAGGGGGCAAGATGAAGGAATCTGGGTGTGTCCAGCCTTTCTCCTTCTTCTTCTTGGCCTCCATCTTCTGCTGTGATGGTGGCACTTTGGGATTGGTTTAAGGTAGAAACTCACTGTCTAACATAGGTGATGAGTATTGGGAAGTTATTGTAAATACTGTACACATAGTTTTTAGTATAAAAAGATAACACCACCCTGAGGGCAGCCAGGAAGGGAAACGCCACACCAGAGCACTTCCCTCTACATCAAGGTAAGTGCTGGCTGAGCCCCAGAAGCCTCCAGCCTCAGAACCCTTAGGGCTTTATCCTGGTGGTTGCATTCTCCCCACCACTCCTGCAGAGATGTTGGGCTCTGCAGGACCCTGAAAGGAAAGCGATGTTTTGTATCCCTGCCCCTCATGGGGGTGTTGCATTTTGCCATTTGTACTCTTGCAAATTTGCTGTCCCATCCTTAATCTCTTTTTCTGCATTTGGGATGAAACAAGTCTTTCGACTACTATGTGGTTAAGAAAATGAGCTGTTCTCCACAGATCCATGTGTTCTTGTAAAGCCCCAGCTTTGCTCCAGAGGACACATTCTGCTGATAAACAAGTGCCTGTGGCACCCCAGGCTAGGCTGAGCAGGTCTCAGCTGCTGTCACCTCTTCTCTGGCTGTGATTTTGATTTGTGAAGGCAACTGAGAGTGTCTGAACAGGGGGCTCTGGGATGCACTGTGGGGCACCAGGGATGCCCTGAGGGTAAAGTGGGGTCTGGAGGCACCCTGAGACCACCCAGTGCCCAGGGCTATGCCAGGCCTGTGTCCTGGGGGACTGTCGCAGACAACTTTTATGAAAAATCCTTTCCTTAAGATTTTTCCTCCTGAGAGGCCTCAGGAACAAAATGTAAACAATGGTTATCTGCTGCTGTGGAATGCAACAGGTGCATCTGTGATTGGTCTCATGTGGTTGTTTCTAATTAATGGCCAATCACAGTCAGTTGGCTCAGACTCTCTGGTCAGACCCACAAACCTTTGTTATCATTTTTTCTTATTATATTCTCAATTAGCCTTCTGATGAAACCTTTTCTTCTATTCTTTTAGTATAGTTTTAATATAATGTATATCACAAAATAATAAATCAAGCCTTCTAAAACATGGAGTCAGATCCTCATCTCTTCCCTCATCCAAGAACCCCTGTGAACACCATCACAGGGGACACCCTGCCCCTCCCTGCCTGAGGGGGTCACTGGGACGCATTGCTGGGGACAGCTCCCCTGATGTCACCAAGCACTGGGCCCCAGAGCTGGCAGCAGGTGCTGTGTCACAGTGGGGCCCTTTGTGACGCCATCCTGCAGCAGGTGTGGTGAGCATGGCTGCTGCCCACAGCGCAGGGTGACAGGCAGGAGCCTGGACCTGACACGGAGTCCCCGAGTGCAGCCCATGTCTTGCCCCAGCACCCCTGGCAGCCCTGTGGGGCTGACGTGTTCTGCCAAGGCTTCCCTCGACACCACCCCAGCACCTGGCCCAGGATTCCCCATAGTGCCTGTCCCACAGGATGGAGAAGAGCCCTCCTGCCACGAGCGAGGCCTGGGAGGGGGACAGCTCCTCCCAGGGGAGCAACTCTTCACAAGTGGTGTCTTTCTACGACACAACCACGATGCAGCCTCTGCAGCTTGGTAAGTGAGGGGCCCAGTGGGGCTGGGCAGGGCTGGGGGCCACCAGCACACCAGGAGCATGTTTTCCTGGCATGGTGACAGCAGCAGTCCTGGGGGACAGGCAGGATGTCACCTGAATGCCAAGGTGGCTTGGGGCTGGATGCCAGCTCCAGCACAGCCTCTTCAAAGGGAAAACCAGAGCAGAGGGGCTCCAGGGAGTGGGCAGGAGAAGCAGGGGCACTCTGGACCTTTCCTGTCCATACCCCAGTGTGCTCCTCAGCCCAGGGCACTGGGGCCATTCCAGCTCCTTAGCCTGTCACCTCCACCACCAGCTGCTCAGGAAAAGGCTGTACCAGGGGTGTGGGCACAGGGCTGGCTGCAGGGTAGGTGTCCTCGGCTCTCTCCTGTGCCCAGAGCCCCTGCAGTTCCCCTGTGAGAGTGTTCACAGGGGTCTTAGGATGAGGGAAGAGATGAGGATCTGACTCCATGTTTCAGAAGGCTTGATTTATTATTTTTTGATATATATTATATTAAAACTATACTAAAAGAATAGAAGAAAGGATTTAATCAGAAGGCTAGGTAAGAATAGCAAAAGAAAGAATGATAACAAAAGCTTCTGTCTTGGACAGACAGTCCAATCCAGCTGACTGTGATTGGCCATTAATTAAAAACAACCCATGAGACCAATCACAGATGCACCTGTTGCATTCCACAGCAGCAAATAACCATTGTTTAAATTTTGTTCCTGAGGCCTCTCAGCTTCTCAGGAGGAAAAATCCTAAGGAAAGGATTTTTCATAAAAGATGTCTGTGACACCCCCCTGCTCTTCCCCTCTGGCAGATGCCAGCTGGTTGCCCATATACGAAGAATCAGAAGACGCAGTAGATTTCATCCTGGCCTTTGTCAGCAGCCTTGACAAGGTAACAGTGGCCAGCTGGACACTGGCTGTGATTTGCTGGGCTGTGCAGTGGTGCTGGCTGGGCAGAGCTGCATTCCTCACAGGGCACTGCTCTCCCAGTGCTCCAGCCCCACTGGCTGCGTCCATCCTCCCACACTCCCTGTTTGTGCCTCTGCCAGGACACCCACAAGTTCACATTTCTGAAGAGCACCTACGTTGTGTGCAAAACTGCCTTGAAACGGGGCTTGACCAGGGGCCTGGATTTATTCTGTCAAACGTGTGAAGTGGTTGAGAATATCAAGGTAGAACCATCTGAGGTTTTGGGGATGGGCACAAGCACCCCTGTGTGGACAGTGCTTGGTGGGTCAGGGATTGGGTGCTGCCAGGTCTCATCCTGGTTGTGCTCTGCAGGACCTCCTGGACAAAGAGCCAAGGGACCGTCTGTCCTCCAAGATCCGCTACCTGGCCATGATTACCATTGAAGAATTAAGGTGAGCCCCTGTCCCACAGCTCTGAGGCCACCAGCAAGAGGCCTTGGGGGCTGCTCCCAGCACCAGTGCCCACCTGACCCCCCTCTGTCCTTGCAGCTTGGTGGAGAATGTGCTGGAGGGCAAAACCAAAATCCTCCTGTCTTCATGTTTCTCAAGTGTCCTCCTGCTCCCCTCAGAAAGGGAAATGCCACACCAGAACACTGCCCTCTACATCAAGGTAGGTGCTGGCTGAGCTCCAGGAGCCTCCAGTCCCTCTGGGCTGCCCCATGACCAGAGATCTGAGCCAGGCTGAGGTGTTGCTGTTGCTTTCCCACCCTGGTGGCTCTGTCACCTTCCCACGGGGCTGGCTGCTCTGTCCCCAGCAGTTTGTGCATCCCTGTGTCTCTCCTGAGCAGTTCAGGTGTCCTCCTCAGGCACTGAGAGCTCAGATGAGTCTCCTGGGTGTGGGGGAAGAGCAGCAGGGTGACAGGCACTGCTCTCTGTGTGTTTGCAGACGCTGAAAGCCATGGACACAATGCTGAGGACAGTGGTGCTCAGCTTTCCTGCTTCCAGCGTCAGCAAGGAGCTGCAGGACATCTTTGAGGTGTGGCACAAGCAGAGTGGCAGTCCCAGGGCTGTTCCTCACCCTGGAAGTGAGGACCTGCCAGTCCAGTGCTGAGCAGGCAGAGCATGGTGTGGGAGGGAGCAGGGGCTGGCACCAGGATCCTCTGAAGCACAGTGGCTGCAGAAGGTGGTGCCTGCCTCGCCAAAATGTTGTCCTGGGACCTTGTCCAGGCTTGTGAGGGACCCCAAGGACAGCGCCCCACTCCAGGCTCAGAGGAAGCCGTGAGGGATGGTACAAGTGTGGCCCAGGAGCAGAGCTGTGTTTGCTCTTGGCGCTCACCTGTGGTTCCTCTCACCCCAGATGCTGCTGGAGTACACCAGGTTTGAGAGGGAAGCTGTGCGGGAGAGGGCTATGGGGAGGATTGCTGTCCTGACCAATCTGCTGTCTAACTATTCCACTCTGAAGGTAGGAACCACACACCCTGCAGCCCCCCTCCCTGGCATTCTCCATGCCAGGGCTGCTGCCCAGATGGTTGCTCCAAGAGATGGGGCCAGGGAGCCCTGCAAGGCCCAGATTCACCAGGAATCCAGCTCTGGGCACACTCTTGGGTTCAGGTTCAGCACCAACTTCTTTCTCTTAGCCCTTCTTCTCATGTCTCACTCATCCAGCCCTCTGTCAACTTTGGAAGAGACAGTTCTGGACCTGTGCGCCCTGAGGACATCTCATTCCCAGCCATGGGAAGGCTGGTGGGACGTCTCATTCTCTTCCGATATTCCGGGGAACAAACAAGCTACACAGCTTTCCACGCTCTGTTTTCCCTTGCTGAATTCCTCTGTAAGTAAAAAGGCAAGAGCAGCTGTGGTCTCGTCCCTGTGCACACAGACCTCCCTTTACAGACCTGCTTCCTGACCTCCTCTGCCCCTCCCGGCTGTTTCCCATGGCATCCCAGCTGTCCCTTTGCTGCAGAAGCTGAGTGCTCACCTCAAGTCCAGGATCTGTCACTGCTCTCCTTTTCCCTGTTCCTTCCAGGACCTTGAACCCAATTGGCTTGTGGCCCCACAGCCAAAGCCCAGTTGACTCCCAGGTCCCAAAGTCCAGTTTGCTCTACTAGAGAAGAGCAAATCAACCACCCTGGCTGGGGCCTCTTGCCTATAACAAGAAGCTATTCCTGATGGCCCCCAGAAATCCTGACTGATTCTGTCTTGCAAGCAGATCTCAGGGTGGTTTGATGACCTTGTTGGCAAAGCAGCTCTGTCTCACTGACTCTTCTGTGTTATCCCTGCTGTTTAGACAAGTCAAGACCAAGGGATGGGTCAGATGTATTCTCTTGGGAAGCTGTGACCACCTCCTCACTGTGTTACCTGAGCATTATAGACTGTACCCAGGTAATGATCCCCCCTCCTGCTGGGATTCTTTTCCATGGCATCAGCAGGGCACTTGTGTGAGCAAAGGGACCCAGAATCAGTGGGCTGGTGGGGCCTCACTGCCCTGGCAAGAAGGTTCCTGCCATTCCTGAGTAGGGACAACACATGGGCTGCACTCTCCTGTCCTGGCAGCAGCTCCAGCCCCAGCAGGAGCACCAGCAAGCTCCTAGTTCTCATGAGCCCTCCTCCCTGACATGGAGGGCCCTCTCTCCTCGCTCTCTCACACCCAGGGACTGCGGGCACTGCTGCCAGCTCTCCTGTGGGCTCTGCTGCCAGCACTGCTAGGAACCTCTGCCCAGCCAAGCAGCACCATCAGGGCACTCAGTGGCACGTGTCTTCCTTCCTTCCTTCCTGCCACAGGCCTTTGGAAGATACCTCCACTCCAGTGAGAGGACAGATGTCGTCCTTGAGGCCATCGAGGCCATGAAAGATCCCAGCATCCTTAACAAGGATGTGCCCTGCAGTATACTGGATGTGGTCATGGAAGACACAGACTTCTGGGTGACAGATGTAAGTGCCCTGGGGCTGGATTCCCCTGATCTTCAGCCCTGCCAGGCCTTGCTCCTCCTTCCACCCCTTCCTCACAAACCCAGGTGACTTCGGCACCTGAAACCGCCCAAAGGCAGCAGAGAGGAATGGGAAGGGCAGCTGAGGACATGGCTGCATTCCATGGCAGTGCCATCCTCACCTGTATCCTTTTCAGGTGCCCAAGACAGTGAAGTGCATTTTTGAGAACCTGCTATACACCACCACAGAGGCAGGCTGTGTCAAAGTGGAGTCACTGTTTCTCCTGATGACCACCCAGTACCCCTCGGCCGTGGTCATCAGCCTGTGTGAGATGGCTCTTCAGGGAGACAGGTACTGGCCCTGACAATCTGAGGGGCTTGTTCCACATGGGGACAGGGACCCCGAGACTCTGTGGCTGCCAGATCCAAGGAATGCTGCAGGACATCCCACAGAGCCAGGCTCTCCATCCCACAAACCTTTCTGGCTCTCTCGCAGCAGCCAAAGCCAGCCAGGCCACTCCAGAGCCATCTTAGTGCTCCCATCCCCACAGGGAACTCCCCCTCAGCCCTGTTCTGCCTCCTGCAGGGCCCCCAGCACAGAATCTGCTCTGTGGTCCTGGCCATGGCACTGTGGCTGAGGCAGACCCTGGCTTCCAGCACTTTGCAGGAGCTGTGTGACACTCTGTCCTCCAAGCCTGACATTCTGGACAAGTTCCTAGCAGAGTTTGCTACCTTGCACCGGAACCAGTGGTGCAACCCTCCCAGAGAAGGCACCCGCACCTCTCACAGAGCTGTGAGTTACCAGAAAAAACCCCAACCCCTTTCTGTGAGCCCTCTGCCAGCACCTCATAGCTGTGTCTGTTCCTCCAGTCATCCCTGGGGCAGGTTGACTTGGAGGAGTTGGGTGAGGAGCCCAACGTCTGGAGCAATCAGGGAAATCCCGATGTGATGACGGCCTTTCTGATGCTGGAAGTCCTCCTTGGGCTGTCAGAGAGAATGGAGATGGTGAGCAGGGTGGTTTTGGGGCAGCCAGGGCCTGGGGTTGAGTTCAAGGCAGTGGCTTGGCCTGGGCTGGGAGTCAGGATGTGGGCTGAGTGCTCCAAAAACCCTCCCTGCCATGGTGGGGCCTGGGCTGGGAGTCAGGATGTGGAATGACTGCTCTAAAAACCCTCCCTGCCATGGTGGGGCCTGGGGTGGCTGCCCTGGGAGGTGTCCAGACACATTTCACAAAATGGAAACTCTCTTCTTCATAAAGGGAAAAAAAATTGAAGCCTTCCTGCCAAGCATGATGAAGATACTGGAAGTTGGCAGTGAAGATGAGAAGCTGAAGATAATTGAGGTCTTTCGAAATGTCCTGAGTCAGCTGAAGAAGTCAAAGGCCAGCTCCATTGCTGTGGCGCTGGTGGGGAAGATCCTGCCCCTCTTTGACTCGGTGAGGCTGATGTGGGAGCCTGAGCTCCAGAGATGAGCACTGCCCCTCATGAAAGCAGCACTTGGAGCAGGCTCAGCTTTCCTAGAAAGGATTCTGGGCTTTGTAGCCCAAAGCTGCTTGTGCCTGCCCTGGAATGTGACAATGTGGCATGGCCCTCACCACAGACATGGGCAGGGAGCCCTGCTTCAAGGCTCACCTTTCCTCCCTTGTGGAAACCCAAGGCACCAGGAATATTTCTCTGTCTGCTCTGGGCTGCTCTGACCCCCAGGGGAGCACTGACTTTCTTATTAATGGAGAAAGTTTCCCAGCCTTCAAGATAAACTAGAATCCACAAAAGTGTGAAATAGATTATAGAGAGCAGTGTAGGTGGATCACTTGGTGAGAAATTGAGGTTTTGGGATTTTTAGTATGTTGTGGATGGAAGCAAGATGGAGGGCACAGGGTGTCATCCTGGGTTTCTCCTTCATGCTTCTTCTTCCTCCTCCTTCATGGGTTTGGGTGGCATTTTGTAATTGGGCAGAAGAGTCTTCTGAAATGTCTAATACATGAACTCTTCAGCCCTGCTCCTCCTCTTCATTATCTGCTGGGAGCACCAATTCTCCAGGCTTGTCACAGAGCCCCCAGCTGGCTGGAGCAGTCTCTCCTGCCAGTACCCCTCACTGCTGAGGTGGCATTTTGTAATTGGGCAGAAAAGTCCCCATTGTGGACTCTTTGGGATCAGTTATTGGGTTAAAAGGGAAATAATCCAGGTGTCAGTTCTTAATCAGATAGTTTAGTCCTAAAAGATCTTGTACCAAGAGATTGTTGGCCATTTTGTGCCTTCTAATGAAAAGCTGCCAAACTCACAGTAGTGAGACTGTTTTACTGATAAGAAACTATGAACACTTGAGTTTGAACATGAATTACTGTCTCAAATGCCCTCAATCCAGACCCAGAAAAACTGATGACTGGTACCCCACCCTCCCTCCTCACAGGAGAGCGTGCGGCTGCGAGAGCTCTCCCTCTGGCTCCTCAGAGACCTGGTGAGGTCTGTGGCGAGGAGGGATGAGAAGAAGATGAGGAAGCAGGTGCAGAGTGCCCTGATCCCACTGCTCTTCCGTGTGAATGACCAGGTCCCCAGTGTGGCCAAGGTATGAATTTGAAGGTTGGTGTGATGTGGGGGGGCTGACACCTCCCAGGGTGTTGTATTTGTGGGGTGACCCATGGCAGGAAGGAATGATGAATCTGACTCCAAGTTCTCAGAAGGTTAATTTATTATTTTATGATACTATATTATATTTAAAAATACTAAACTAAACTATACTAAAGAATACAGAAAGGATATTTGCACAATGCTAAAAAGATAATAATGAAAACTTGTGACTCTCTCTGGAGTCCTGACACAGCTTAGCACTGATTGGCCAAAGAGTGAAAACAACTCACATGAATCCAATGAAACAATCATCTGTTGGATAAACAATCTCCAAACACATTCTACATGAGCAAAACACAGGAGAAGCAAATGAGATAAAATTGTTTTCCTATTTCTCAGAGGCTTCTCAGCTTCCCAGGAGAAAAATCCTGGGCAAATGGATTTTTCAGAAAATATGAATGTGACATCAGGGATGCTGGGCACTGGGGCAGGGGCTGCTCACTTTGGGCAGGGCTCCCCCAGTGCAGCCCCTCGGAAGGGTCTCTGTGGAACTAGGACAAGGCTGGACAAGGTGGCTTGGCCATTTTCATCACCTGTCCTGCCTCCTCCTGCAGCTCGGCAGCAGCCTGTGGCCATGAGGCAGCACCCAAGGCCTGAACATGTGTGCTCCAGAAACTCAGAGGCTTCTCAGCTTCCCCACAAGTGTCAGAGGCCTGGGCTTCAACCTCAGTCAGTCACCCAGGCCTAGCCCCAAGAGACTCCAAGACATTTGGGCTAGGACAAGTCCCAACTTCCTAAGGGTGGGATCACTGCAGGAATAAAGCCAAGAGGTCTCTTTCCCCGGGCCCTGGTGCCACCTCTGAGCTCATGCTGTTCTGCAGGCATCCAGGGAAGCCCTTTTTGCTGCTGCAGAGCTTCTCAAATGGAAGCAGCTCAAGCACCTGCTGCAGAAAGAGCGGATGTGGGAGCTTGCAGAATGCTTGGTAAGGATAAGCTCCAGGCTGGGTGAGGGCTGTCCCTGCCCTGTGTCTGTCCCCATGAGAGCCCAGGGAAGCAGAGGCTACTCTGAGTGCTGCTCTCAGGGCTGGGTAGGACCTGGAGGACTTTGTTCCTCAAGAACAGAGCCTCAGAGGCTCCTCTCCAGGCTCCTCTCCCCTTCAGAGGGCTCAGCAATGGGGTGCTGGGAGGAGGGACTGACAGAGCCACCTGGGGGGCTCTGTGACAAGCCTGGAGACATCCCTGGTGCTCCCTGCAGATAAAGAAGAGGAGGAGCAGGGTTGAAAAGTTCATGTACCAGAGCCTGCCCTACCTGAGGGACCCTCAGTCCCCTGTGCGCCTGGCAGCCGTCAGGTTCATCGGTGAGTCACAGCCCTGGTCCCTTTTGGGCCAGCCTGGCCACGTCCCTGCCCTGCACTGGCAGCAGCCCTCTGGTACCCCAACCACCCTGTGCAGAGCCTCAGCCTCCCTGTGCCCCCTGCCACCAGCTGGGCTTGGTGGCCACCTTGCCCTGTCCCTTTCTGGTGGCCCCTGGGTCATCCCTGAGTGGGAGGGTGCCAGGGCTGGGGGTCACCCTGCTGGGAGCACACTGGGAGCGGGGAGTGACAGAGCTCTGTGCCCAGGGTGCGCCACGAGGCACATGAGGGACCAGGACATGGAGACCCAGGCTCACATCCTCACTGGTGAGTGGCATGTGGGGAATCTGGGGAGGCTCTGCAGACACACGGCTTCATCTTGGCTCTGTTTGTTTGGGTCACAGCCCTTCAGCCCTTGGAGAGAGACAAGGACATCTCAATCAGCTCCCTGGCAGCCCACACAGGCTTGCTCCTGAGAGCTCCAAGGGTGCAGAGAAGATCGTGGGTCATTCTACACACACTGTGCTGCTGGTGTCGGTGAGCTCAGCAGAGCTGCAGCTGTCTGTGCATTAATAAAGCTGGAGAAACACATCCATGGTATCCTTCAGATGTGTAGTGCTGAGCTGACTGTGTCCTCCTTGGCCTATCCCACAGCCAGTGGGATGCTTCCTCCTCACACCCCTGCCATCCCCAAATGCCCCACTTGGCCCCAAATTGCAGGCACAGGGCTCTGGATTTTCTGCAGACGGTCTCATATTGCATCCCTGGTACCCCAAAATGTTCCTGTGGACCTTGAATTGTATATGCAGGGCCCCACAGCATCCTCGGCAGACTGAATTGTACCTGCAGAGCCCCACAGCATCCTCAACAGACTGAATTGTACCTGCAGAGCCCCACAGCATCCTCAGCAGACTGAATTGTATCTGCAGAACCCCACAGCATCCTCAGCAGACTGAATTGTACCTGCAGAACCCCACAGCATCCTTGACAGACTTCAAATTCCATTCAATGTATTTCAGAATGCCCCACTGAGTACTGGGGTGCAGCTGTGGGGTCCCAAATGGTCTCTGGCAGCCCCACCAAGTGTGGAATCATGAGGGAATGCTCAGCCCTGAGTGGAGCTCAGGAGGTCCCAGAGCTCCCTGGGGAGTGCTAGAAGCTGGAATTGAGTGAAGCTCTCTTCTTTAAATGTGGCATCTCTGTTTTTTACGAAAAGAAGCCTCATCCATGCACTCTGGAAAAAACCTCCAGCTCTCCACCGCAGATCCCAAACAATGAGCAGCGGATGCCATCCCCAGGCGCTGGGGAAAACAGCAGAGAGTGTTTGAAGAGCCAGAAGGGATGGGCAGGGGGCAGCTGGGGGAGGAAGCAGCGTGGCCCTGCCCTGGATTTGTTCAGAGGGGCAGAACGTGTGCAGGATGTGGGGTTTGGGGTCTTTTCACCAGTGCTGCTGTTACCAAACCCTCTGAAATTGTCGGGATTGGCTCCCTCTAACCCTCTCTTTGAGTATTAGAGAGTAGGGTGTTGCTTCATTTTTGGCCAGCAGGGGTGGCTGACAAGTTCTGGCCTCTGCACTGATGCAAATACAGAACTTTTACACTGATTTATACATTTTTAGGAAACAAACAAATAAACGTTCATTGGTTCTAACTCACATAATTTGCTTAATTAATCAGTATTCCATCCTCTCCTGGTTATTGATTTCTCACTCTTCATGCCACTTTGCAACACATTTTTTCATCCTTTTATCCTCTTTTCCTTGGGTGAGGAGCCTCCAACTTTCCAGGCCTTCATCTCCTGTATCTTCTTGTTGATTGTTTTCCCTTGCTGTGCTTCAGCTGTCTTGTAAGTAGTAGAGTTGTCATGCTTTGTCACTTAATATTAAATCTCACTTTAGCTCATACCCTTGCCAGTGATCTTTAAAGTGATCTCAAATCTCTCTTTCATAGCATCCAGGGGAGGGGGAGCACCATGGGGGTGTCAGGGGACCCCTCTGCTCCTGGCTGGTCAGCTCAGGGGGCTCCCCTGGCAGGTCCCCAGCCCGGGGGCCCTGCTCTGTCCCCGGTGTCGCTCTCCTGCAGAGCAGGATGGCCATCAAGTGGCTGGTGCTGGGACTGGCACAGGGCTGCTGCAGTACAGCATGCAAAATCCAACATAAACATAAACATAAGCATAAGCATAAACATAAGCATAAAAATAAAAATAAAAATAATAAATATAAATAAAAATAATAAATATAAATATAAATATAAATATAAATATAAATATAAATATAAATATAAATATAAATATAAATAGCAGGAGGTGTATATATAAAAATATTGTATATAATATGTAAAATATAAAATATAAAGACATAATATTTCATTATTATATATTATATTATTATATATTATTATATATAGATATAATATATATGATTATATTATATATAATATATAATATTATATATATTATAATATATAATGCATATATTATATATATTTTTACTATATATAAAAAAGTAGGAAAAATATTTGCTTGGTATTATTAGTTTCTTTCAGTGCCCTGTTGTCACTGTCACATTTTCTGAAAAATCCCTTCACCAGGATTTCTTCTCCTGGGAAGCTGAGAGGCCTCAGAGAAAAATGAAAACCAGCAGCTGGAGGAAAGAAATCCATTTGTGGCATGATTTGGGAACACAGCCTCTCTCTGTTCCCTCCTGGAGGAGGAGGGAGAGCCCAGGGTGTTGGATGCTGTGGTACTCACATGCCCTCTGAACAGAGAGAAGCAGAGAAGAAGGGAAAACAATTCTTATCTCTGCTTGCTGCTCCTGTTGTTCTGCACATGTGGAATGTGGTGGAAGATTATTTACCTGAAGGAATTTGGTAACTGGATTTTGCTAAGGATTGTTTTTTTCCCTTGGCCAAACACAAAAAGCTGTGTCCTGACTGTCCGCAGACAGTCACAAGTTTTCTTTGGTATTCTTTGTAATATAGTTATAGTATAACATAGTATTATAAAGTATAAAATTATATACTATATAGTTATAGTATAACAGTATAATGAAGTAATTAATTAGTCTTCTGATATCATGGAGTTCTGTGCATCATTCTTCAAAGCAAAACTGGATACAGTAGGTTTTATTCTAATTCTGTCTGCAGCAGAAATATTAGATATTGTTTGTACCCAGTTTTCCAAAGTGATGGAAGTGTGTACACCATTCCTTCCAATGGTCACTTTTTAAATTCAGCCCTATTTCTGCTTGTGTAGGTGGTTGCTGAGCATCCAGATGCTTCAAGTGAGGAGATTGAAGAGCTGCTCGAATGACAGTGGAACATGCTTACTGAAAAACAGAAAGGTCAATATAACACAAAGTTTGCCATAATGACCTCTCCCAAAACTGAAGAAGTCTCTGGTAAATGTAAAACTCTGCTAGTGCACTCTAACTAAATTCAATGTACATAGTGGTGTTAAACTAAGTGCATATTTGAGACCCTGTGGGGAAAACAGCTTTCACTTGTGATGGTGTTCACAGGGGTCTTAGGATGAGGGAAGAGATGAAGATTTGACTCCGTGTTTCAGAAGGCTTGATTTAATATTTTATCATATATTTTACATTAAAACTATACTAAAATAATAGAAGAAAAGGTTTCATCAGAAGACTAGCTCAGAATAGAATAAGAAAGAATGATAACAAAGGTTTGTGGCTCGGTTCTCTGTCCGAGCCAGCTGGGCTATGATTGGCCATTAATTACAAACATCTAACATAAGTTAATCAAAGTTCTACTTGTTGCATTCCACAGCAGCAGATAACCATTGTTTACATTTTGTTTTTGAGGCCTCTCAGCTTCTCAGGAGGAAAAATCCTAAAGAAAGGATTTTCCATAAAAGATGTTTGTGACATTCACTCTTTTCCAGTTTTAATTCTTGGTGTTTGTGCCAATAGCAAAGGGACGCCAATGGTTACAATGAACACAACCCATAAAGTCAACATTTCTTGCTCGTTGTTCTGAAAAGTTGTTATATGTAAACCTGCTGCTGTTTAGACATTGCTAATTTCTCATTCTTCTTCTGCCCATAAGCAGCTGCCATTGCATCCACAAATGCTGAGCATCACAGCATTGAGAGGATGCTGGGCACTAAAGAGACACAAAAGCACTGCAGGGACAAAGGGGAGGCTGGAGATGAGCTCAGGGGACAGCCTCCAGGTGGGTTTGTAGCAGACAGCTGCCACTGCAGAGACACTTGGTATTAGTCCAATTAATACCTCAAATTAGTGTCTGCATTTACTGGAAAGGCAACACAGAATCCGAGCTGCAAGGGCAGTACATGTTTTGTGTTGGGCAGGGCATGATTGGATCCAGAAAAAGCCTTAATGGATGACTTCTGTGATTTCTTTTGTATTGACACTTCTTATCTGCTGAGCATTTAGCCTCTCTCCCTGAGGAAATGTGCGGTTTCCCTGGGGCCCACAATCTCTGGCTCTGTAAGGATTGGTTCCTCATTTGAGGTTCAGAGAACAATTGTTCCTTTCTACTGCTTTTGGTTTGTTTTAAGTAAGTTGTATTGATTTTAGGGTAGCTAGGTATAGAAACAAGACTGACCAAAGTGATTTTTGATTTGCACAGTTCTGTATATAATGTGATCCTGTGCTAGGACTGGGACTCTACACAGAGAGCACTAGGAACTTTTCTCCCAACCCTGCACGCAAATACCATTTTCCCCAAAATCCTTTTTATATTTTGGACCCTTTTGAAAAAAGGAAAAAAAGGAATTAATCCCTTGCAAGCATATTTGTGGAAAAGGAATAAAAAAAATCTTGTTTCCAGGTGTTTTATCTATAAATGGTCTTATAGCTCACCTAGCCCTGCTTCCAAACATTCCTACAGCTGGAAGTGTGGAAAAATTTTCAGTGTCTGGATTTGCATAAATGAAAGCATAAGCAGAGTGAGAGTGGTCTTCTGTCCTTCTGGAGTGAGGTAGAAAGAGGTCATGGAGAGCTGCAAAAGAGGGAAGGACAGCTCTTCCTGGGAATAAGCTTTTGAGAATAAGCTGGTTTGGATCTGAGGTGGAAGTGGCTGCTGTGTGTGTTTCCCAGTATGGTGTGTATCTTAAATATTTCACACTGAGATTGTAAATCCATGATTTGGATGTTGGAGAACCAGCCTGGCACAACCCCCTGAGTTTTCCAGCAAGATGATCTGTGTTTCTCTGACAGCAATACTGGTGCTGCTGGAATAAATGGTTTGTGGCTTGGGAGATGCTGCCTGACTTAGGGAAGGAGCTGGAGCAGCCCTGATGGCTTGGGTGAGGAAAAAAGGAGTGGGAGGGCTTGAAAGTGAGTTTCTAGTGATGGTTGAAGTCCAAAGCCACAGCTTTGCTCCTGCTCTGCCTGAATTAGGTGTTTGTACCTGGGAAATGAGCACGTTATAATTCTTAGGCTCTGGGCTGTCTCTACAAAGAACAGAAATGGTCCTGTCTGGAGACTTGGTCAGCAGCTCTGATGTCTCAGGGGTGGGAGGTTTTTTTCTGAGCCCTTCAGCTAACTTGTTTCTTATCTTTGGAAATGTTGCTGCTTCTGTTTCCATTAAAGAAACTTGTGACAAAAGGGCACTTAGTTCCTGGGAATGAAAACAGAAGCTTTCCTTTTCCTTTCTCTAAACCAATCAATTTACAGACTATCTCTGTGGGAATGTCAGGAATTGTACAGACACCCTAGGCTCTTGATTAAAGTTGATGGTTTTTTTATGAGTTATATTATCTTACTCTGCAGGAAACAGGCATTTGTCTATTTAATTTTGTTCTAGAAAAAAAGAAATAAGTGAGAAAACAGAAACAGCAGAATGTGGGTGCTGTTTTTCTCTGCTAGATGGACTTGCCTGCTTTGCTTTTCCTTTCCCTGTTGTCAACTTGTCTTGGTTTGGAAAGACAGGAGTCTGCTAAGGAAGGCAGGAGCCTCCCCTGAAATGGAGAATGTAAACCCTCCCCACTCCTCCGAATTGCTATAAATTTTAAATTAAGGGGTTTCAGGCAAAAATATGGGATCAGAAAATACCAGTTCTTTAATAGGGAAATGGAAAAAAAGTAAAGGATAAAATAAAGAATGCAGTACACTAGAACAACACTGCCAGAGTCAGAACCCAACCTGACACCCTGTGGGTCAGGGTGTTGGCAGCAGTCCCATTGGAATTGTGGCTCAGCCCTCCTGCAGTGTCAGGGCTGGTTCTGCTGGAGCAAGGGGGTTCTGGAGAGAAGGATGTGTTCTTCCTCTGAAGATCCACTGGAAGAAGAGGCAGCTGCTGCTCCTCTGGGGAATCCAGTGGAGAAGCTGTGCTGGTGTTCCAGAATCTCCAGATTATATCCAGGTAGGAATGCTTGGCTCCTCCCTCTGGGCTCCCATCTCCCAATGGGATGCTGTAGTTCTTATCAGCCATGCAGGGACATTCAATAGCTGTTATCAGCAGATGTCCCCTCCCAAAGGAGGTGTGATTGTGGCCACTTAAAGAGAGAGATAAGGCAAACTGCCCACTTGACAAAGGTAATCTGCCATAAAGATGGTGATTGAAAACAACTTGCATTGCAATCTGGAACATACCTCATGTTATCAATCAGCAGGGCAAATCTGACAGGGGTCTCACACTTGGTGAGTAAATTATTGCTGTGGGCTGGCTGGGAGTGAGGGTGCCCAAAAGCTGCAGACAGCCACGGGCATTCTGCTGGTCCTGCAGGAATACTGGTGACAATGACACCTTCTGGTGCCAGCCTGGGCTCAGGAGGAGCATTGTGTCCTGCCAGGATGAGAAACACAGACCCCCAGGCTGTGATGCTTGGGCTCTGAAGGCATTGTAAGGCTGCAGATGGTTCTCATTTGCTAAGATTTTGAAATATGTGGATTTATTCTCTTGCTAGCCCCTGGGAATATACATGTCCTGAGCCTCTGTCCCAGGCTTTGTGACAAATCATTTGATCTCTGTGAGGTGGCAGAGCACCAGGCACACATTTGACAGGCAGGGGGTGCCCAGCAGCTCTGCCATGGCTCCTCTGCCACCCCAGGGAGCCTCATGCCCTGTCTGTGCCAGCTGTGACACAGGGCCCAGCCATGACACATGCTCAGACACAGAGCTGTGCTCTGAGTTTGCTCCAGTTTATTGTTTTCTATGAGAAAAGAGAGCACATTTTAATCTTTAAAAAACCCCAAACCAAATCCCACTTTAATGAAGAGGGTTGCTTTGCCCTCCAGGCTTCTCCAGGCTTGCAGGAAAGCAGCAGTCAGAGAGCAACACCAAAAAATAACATAGAGATCTCAAAGGATCTCCCGTGTACCTGCTGCTAGGGGTGTGTCACACCAAAGTGACTCTAAATTGGACAGAGATGGGTTTGATGGGTGTAAGATGGATAAGAAAATGCTTGGATGGTCACTTCTGCAGGGCTGTGGTCAATGGCTCAGAGTGCTGATGGACATCAGCGACCAGGGGTGTCCCTCAGAGGGCAGTTTTGGAACCAAAGCCATTTCATATCTTCATTCAAGACAAGGATGAAGGGACTGAGGGCACCCTTAGCAGGTTTGCAGCTGACACCAAGCTGAGAGTACAGTGCCAGCCCTGAAGGATGGAGACATCCAGAGGGACCTGGAAAGCTCCAGAAGTGGCCCATGGGAATCTCATGAGGTTCAGCAGGACAAGTTCTGGTGCTGCACCTGGGTTGGGGAAAACCCCAGGATCAATCCAGGCTGGGGATGAGCAGAGGAGCAGCCCTGGGAGAGGACCTGGGGGTGCTGGGGGTGAGATCTGCACCTGCCCCAGCCCTGATCTCCCACTGCCCTGGGCTGAGCCCCAACGTGGGCTGCAGGAAAGGGATTGGGATTCTGCCCCTGTGGCCCACTCAGGTCAGACCCCACCTGCAAAACTGGCCCAGCACAGGAGGGACCTGGAACTGCTGGAGAGAGCCCAGAGAGGCACCAGGATGAGCAGATGGATGGAGCAGCTCTGTTGGGAGAGCTGGGATTGTGTAGCCAGGAGAAAAGAAAGCTTTGGAAGGTGACCATTCAGATTTAAACAGCTTTAGTGCATGTGCTGTTAGGGTTGTTAATGAATTTTTCTCTTAGAGCAGGAGCTCATTTTAACATAGCTAAAACAAGCTAAAACATAACTAAACATAGTTTTAAAATAATAAACAAAATACTTGAAACAGAAGATTTTGAAGGGTATATAAATTCTGCAGCAGGATGATAATTGTAGATTATTTTGCACTCTCTGAAAATAAACATCCATGTAGAGTTTTGTCTGCCTATGAGTCAGCACAACAGAAGGAAATGGAAATTTAAATGG